CTCTTGACAGTTTTCAAGCAACATCACGGTGGGGAATTTTAGCAGTACTCCAGCAATATCTCGGTGGGGAACCCCAGAAATGGGCTTCACACATTGTACCCATGTGGGGAATCGAACCCGGGTCTTCGACGTGACGAGGAAATACTTAAACCATTATGCTACCCAATGCTAATTTTTAATAAGATAAATCTTTTCAAGACAGTGTGTGAACACCATTATTATCGGAAAGTCTACGAAATTTTGAACAAGTAATCCAAGGATCCCAACACACGCAAGGGAGACAAATCTACCAAACATAATGCAGCCTTTAGAACCACTTGGCTTTACGTTATTACATATTTCAGCGTACTTAATGAAGACTTAATGAGTGGCAATCTGGATTCATGTCATCCACAAATGAAGCTGAATTCAGCTTCCTTTGAAAACAACACGTCTCCTCATCTGTCCAGCTTGGCCATTTAGAAACGCATTTGTCAACACTGAACATGTTGAAGCCAGTATAACACCAATAGTCAACATTCAACCCAAATAACAAATAATCACCTTGACGCAATGAAATGCTTAACTTCGCTGAACAAACAGGCTTAAACCTGGCTTTGGCAAAGTTTCATACATGGCCCCAAGTCCCACGTCAAAACATGGCTGCAAAAACATCACCCTGTCTTGGCGTAGAAATACATCAATATGGCTTCATGAGATCAAGTAAAACTCTATTTCAATATTCATACAAAAATATGGACGATATTGATGCATTTGAATAAAGTTGTACAAGGAATTGGGATTTCTTTTTGATTTAAACCCTGTCGCTGTTTCACCGAGGTTAGAAATGACGTAATACGACTCCGAGATGAAAAGACTTTGTGGACAAAAAATTAGTAGTCTCGGGATGGCGGAGAAGCATTAGCTGTCTGATCAATATTAACTGCTACTGCGGTTCCAAAGGCCAACACGTTCGATGGAGGACCCGGGGAAAGTACTTTCTCGACCCATGCCATGTATCGCTGTAATACCTCTCCATTCTCAACGTGTAAAGCGAACGACAGCGCAACATAGGTGAAGGCGGTGAGCTCTTTTAACAGTCTGCACATCATCCAAATTAAGGATTCATTGATTTGTATTGTACATAAGTTAACATTGCCGCTGCAACGAGGTCACTGAGTCCTGCTCTGTTATGGGGTGTGAGCGGCAAGGTTTATGCTTCATCATCCGATATTTCAAGCTGCACTCCATTAATCTGCTTCTGAAGCACGCCATTAATACAATTTTTTTTAGATTTAAAGATGCCACGCAGAGGTTTTTGATGTAGGTTACGTTTCAACGTTCCAAATTTGACGTATCAGTGACCAAAATGAAGTCCGATGAACTTGTTTCTTAATATGTTTCTATGTTTGTTCAAGTGAACGACCGCCTCCGTGGTGTTGTGGTTAGAGCGTCCGCCCGAAGAGCGGGAGGTCGCGGGTTCGATCCCCGACCGCGTCATACCAAAAGACGTTAAAATATGGTACATGTTGGTCCCTGCCTGGCGCTCGGCATTAATGGGTACAACAAGGACTGGTCGGCTCGGAGTCAGTAAAATGTGTCTGAGTGGGGTATTCATGCTTCACTGCGGCATGGTATCTCAGTGGGCTAGCACTATAAAACCAGCTTAAGTCTGGGCTAGTACAAGCAGCCGCACATACACATACACACGCATGCACGTCGTCATATGAGCGAAATATTCTCAAGCACGACGTAAATCCCAACTTCACCTCACCTCAAGTGAATGCTTGACGTGCCCGCGCGTGTGTTTGTGACGGTGGATCATGTTAACGCGGACATCTGATATAATCACTGATGAATAGTAATGAATAATAGTGCATATTCATAAGACGCACATATCCTCGCTCGTAAGCATGCTCTTGACGCTAACACATTATTACCCCAGATAACCCACGCTGCCTGTTAGACGCTGGAAGGTTATAGTCACATGGATTATCCCACCGGGTACCCATTTTCGGCTGGGTGAACAGAGGCAATTTTTGAACATACTCAGCTGCCTAAGGTGAGACCAAATGTATCACATGTGTTCGTTGTGGGACTGAACAGAATTCCTACAAACTCTCAGGAGTCAAGCTGCCAAACACAGTCACCCATCCTAGGACTCTACGGGCCCAATGCTGCTAACTTCAACTGATTTGTGACCTGGATTAATATGGAAAGAGGTTTTTCGCCGTTATTTAATTGTAGAAATTAAATATTTCGTTTCTTTGCAGTCAGCAATATGCCAGGTGTATGACAGCAATCAGCAATCGGGGTTGGATCAGACAGTGACTGCCACCATAAACTTTGATCCAGACCAATTCTGAGAGGATCTATAAAGTGATGTATCTATTTATGTATCTATTAAGTAATTCCATTATCTTGACATTTTGGTGAAAACAACATCGCACAGAAATAAATATCGGTTAACGGATAATGCGACAAAAAGCCCATGAGTCTAGACGCCGGGTTTCCAGTTGAGTAAAATGATGTTGAGGAATACATTGTAGAGACCTACTATGCCTCTGATTTGATTTTATCTTAGATTTAATTTTCAATTGAAGTTGGAACTGTTAACAAATTGTACAAAAAGCACTATAATCCTTGTACTTGGGCTTATGTTTCATATTTTGATTTATCATTTTAAAAACGTATGTTTGATATTAGTACGCAACAGCTGGCGTGTATCGTGGAGGAGTAACTCTGTAAAAGACAATAGAGCCAATTTTGTCGGCATAACATTTAAATTTAAAACATTGCAGGGGTCATGTGCTTGTCATTAATTTCTTACAGCACTCTTTAATTGAACCACAATGTTTTAGGACCATTTCTGGTGTCCCCCGCCGTGATATTGCTGGAAAATTGCTAAAGGCGGCGTAAAACCATACTCATTCACTCACTGACTTGAACTAATATATTTTCAGACAGAATTTCCAGTCACAGTTTACGTATTACAGAACAGAAATACACTTAAACAGAAATACTCAAATTTGAAAACAATTCTTTCAATTACATAAAACAAGTTAATGTGCTTCTTTAGCCGCCTCAGACTCGTCCGTCCAGTGGCCTTACCCTGGTACATGATTTAAATTGGTAGGAATCTGTGAAAGTATTGCGACAATACTTGTCTAAAACACTACCGCCAGTCAGTCTGTAATCGTCCATAGTTCCCTTGAAAAGTAGATACATGTCGTTGCACGTTGGAGTATTTGTAAATATGACAACGGTTCCCTTTTATATTTTAATTGCATCGTGCCATTGTATTAACTGCATCATGTATCAAATTGCATAATATGTACACGTAAGGTTGTCCAAATTAACAATTGGATTTTTTGGTGCATCCATCATTTGATTATCTGGTCTGGTACTTTGTTGCAGGCGTACATATGTGCGCCATCGGCTGTGAAGATATTTCTCGGCAAATCGTATGTATGTCGGTTGCTACCAACAGAGCAGGGGCAGTGCAGGGCAGTGCAGGGCAGAGCAGGGCAGAGCAGGGCAGAGCAGGGCAGTGCAGGGCAGTGCAGGGCTTGCTTACCTCTTTCTCAAACACTAGGTGTCATTACTGATTTTCAGATTTTCCACTACAATTTTCACAGCAGTTTTAACTTTACACCAATGAAATTTGTTTCTCTGGATAGCCAAAACTGGATATTCTTTTGCACTGACGATATATATTAGCTATCATGACTTCCTTGTGCAGGATCAATGGCTATGTGAAACATGGAAGAGTGCTTTTCAAGATATTTCAAGCGTGAGGTGTGGCTAGCGCTGTTTTAGCTTATCAAATGCGAACTTAAGGTTCCGTTTCAAACGTTGAGGCTCGTTTCGGAATTTTCCGATACGGAGGATTGATTTTCTTACCTTTTGTAATTGTGGATGGTCGATTTTCAAGCTATTTTCAAATGTGGGAGGTGTTCGTTTTACCTATAAGTCCATATAGAAGTCAATATTTTCAGTATTGTAGGTCACGTGTTTGGGTATTTTCAATGTGGATGGTGACTTGTTGACGTATTTTCAATGTAGATGGTCACCTGTTCAGGTATTTTTAACGTGGATGGTCACCTGTTCAGGTATTTTCAATGTGGATGGTCACCTGTTCAGGTATTTCCATTGCGGATTGTAACCTGTTCAGGTATTTTCATTGCGGATTGTCACTTGTGAAGGTATTTTCAATGTGGATGGTCACCTGTACCGGTGTTTTCTATCTGGATGGTCACCTGTTCAGGTATTTTTAATGTGGATGGTCACCTGTTCAGGTATTTTCAATGTGAATGGTCACTTGTAAAGGTATTTTCAATGTCAATGGTCACCTGTTCATGTATTTTCAATGTGGATGGTCACCTGTTCAGGTATTTTCAATGTGGATGGTCACCTGTTCAGGTATTTTCAATGTAGATGGTCACCTGTTCAGGTATTTTCAATGTGGATGGTCACCCTTTCAGGCATTTTCAGTGAGGATTGTCACCGGTCCAGGTATTTTTAATAAGGATGGTCACCTGCTCAGGTATTTTCAATGTGAATGGTCACTTGTAAAGGTATTTTCAATGTGAATAGTCACCTGTACAGGTATTTTCAATGTGGATGGTCACCTGTTCAGGTATTTTCAATGTGGATGGTCACCTGTTCAGGTATTTTCAATGTGGATGGTCACCTGTTCAGGTATTTTCAATGTGGATGGTCACCTGTTCAGGTATTTTCAATGTGGATGGTCACCTGTTCAGGCATTTTCATTGCGGATTGTCACTTGTACAGGTATTTTCAATGTAGATGGTCACCTGTTCAGGTATTTACAAGTATTTTCAATGTGGATGGTCACCTGTTCAGGTGTGTTCAATGTAGGTGGTCCATTTTTACATATTTTTCTCAAGGTAGTACGTCTTTAGCCTAGCTATGATAAAATGAATCATTTGCTGTATTCTAATTTAAATACAGGTTAATACCAATATTGACCATAACTCGAATGAAATAATTCAGCTCACCTGGCTACTATTTGTTTCGGTGGCTCCTTTTGATCTCGTCTGAGCTCTTCCTCGAGCTCGTTTTCGATCTTCTCCACATAGCCATGCGTCTTGGCCAGAACCAGCGTCTCTGCTACGAGGGTCTGCAACATTAACACTCGTTATTATGATGAGGAAGATGATAAGATCTAATATCTCCCGAATCCATTGGACACGGTGGGTTAGTTTACAACACATAATACTATGATGCCTAAGTTACCTAAACCTTTGGTGAACAGTTTGATGCTGGGAAGTACCTAGACCAAATATTAAGATACTAGTATGCCTATTGGGCACTGGTGGTATCGCATCAGAGGGTACAGAGGTTTCAGGACCATGTGTTTTATTTATGTTTTGTGCACTTATCCCTATTTCGAGTTATTTAATCATTCATTCTCATTTGAACCCAAACAAACTGGAATGATAGTGGCGATTACGGGCAGTGAGGAGGCGCCATCATCGTTGGCATCACAGCTGATGATGATAGTATTCTTGGAAGTAATATACGGCTACTTTCGTTTGCCGCACAGCTAATGAATGAATGAATGAATGAATGAATGAATGAATGAATGAATGAATGAATGAATGAAATGAATGAATGAATGAATGAATGAATGAATGAATGAATGAATGAATGAATGAATGAATGAATGAATATAAGATGTCTTAATGAAAGTAACCATCACAACTTATAGTGCTAGTGAATAACGAACGGCCATCTACGCTAGCATGTCAGCTCATACCAATTGTGGTGAACGAAAGGCCATCTATGCTAACATCACAGCTCATATTGATAGTGATTAGCGAACGGCCATCTACGTTGGTATCTCAGTTCATATTGATAGTGGTTACGAACGGTCATCTACACTAGCATTATATCTGAAGATGATTTTGACCTCCACACCTCATATTGCTAGTCATTAACGAACAGTCATCTACGTTAGCACCACAGCTCATATTGATAGTCATTAACGCACGACCATCTACGCTAGCATCACAGCTCTCGATGGTGACTGAAGCTGGAACCAACGGCTGTCTACATAAGCATCACAGTTCATAATAATAGCGACAATAAGGGTTAAAATACGCTAGCATAACGACCGATAGTCGCGTGTTCTAGAAGCATTACAAACCGACAAGAACAGGCCATTTGGGGTTTCGTAAAAAAGGTACATGTCTGATAGCTTTAACAGCTTATTGAGAAGTAAAGAAATTAGTGAGTGTACAGCAGGCATTTATGCAGACCCGGTTGAATCTAGACTTAATTGTGAATGATTATCCCGCATCGGGGCCCACATACACCTCATCTGACACAACAGGAGATGGAGACACTGTATAAAGAAAACCTGAATGGCGGGCTGAGTGCTGGAACTCTCTCAGAAGGCAAGATGGAGACAGTTTAACGGTCCGTGGTCTATCTCTTGTCGACAGGTGGGTAAAGAAGTTCACAACGAACATTGATTAAGCACAAAGGTTTTTCTTCGCGAATACATCTTCATTTTCCATGTTTAAACGCCGTCCTTTGCTGTCTGGAATGACGGGTATTAAAGATACCGATGTGGATGTTTTTGTAGCGACACCATCAGCAATATTCCAGTTACAGGACGACGACGACGACGACTTCAATAATCGACGTGGTTGATGTTATGAACAACCATCTACGCCATCAGGATCCGCTGACTCGTCATCAATCAACTGCAAGTCATCGATACTGACCACTCAATCAACTAAGTAGCCTCTTACGACCGGATGGGGTTGGGGTAGCCTTGTGGTTAAAGCGTTCGCTCGTCACTCCGAAGGTCCGGGTTCGATTCCCCACATGGGTAAAATGAGTGATGCCTATTTGTGGTGTCCCCCGCCGTGATATTGCTATAATTTTGCTAAAAGGCGCGTAAATCTAAACTAACTCTTTCGACTGGCATAAGAGCTTAAAGATGCCGATGAAGTGTGAATAATCTACGATTTGATCAAAACGAATCTCGGTAATCGGGTGTGCCATATCATCACTTGTTAACGTCAGTTGGTTGAACAGCTGCGCGGCGTCTTGTTTTTGTGCGGGATTAAAAAACAACATAAAAACACATGTAATTGGCGTTAACAAGTAATTATCAGCACCGCTAACTGTTTAAAAAGATCGTGTGAAAAAAGCAATTGAAGCTAAAGCAACATTGATTCACCGCCCAGTTATCTGTGATGCTACGCGTCCGGGTAATGTTTGCAGAACAGTTCCCAGTTCATTGTGAACTGGGTTCTTGAAGAAAAACTTCACCGTCGCCAGTGTAATGCTACCAAGGCAGATGAGTTGTGTTTTTCTTTAATTACAGACCAAACTTGAAGCATGCTCTTCGCTCAAAGATTCTGGTCAGACTTGTTTTAAAACACAAATCGATAGGGAATTTAAAAACCCCAAAGTCCCACGCCGTCCTCGACGTCGTACGTTTCCGTAACGCTACCTCCGATGATTTCAAAGAAACATGACCAAAGATAGACGCGATACACGGAGCATTTCAGCCAATCAGATGTCGATGACTGGAACCATTCCTAGATGTTCATTCCGAAGACATGGAGACGAGTAACGTGTGCTCGCTTTTGACGCCGTATAATGCGGTCGTGTGGAAGTACAAGAATATTTCTATTGCAAAACGTTTTTGCAGATATATCGCTATATCACAGCTATATCAGACAAGATGGTTATTTTTAAATAGCCACTGCTGTTGGAATTTTACACCCTGCCATGCGTGTCGATTACCCTGAAACCTGTGTGGCACCTACATAAGAAGCCGGTTTATAGTTGTTAACAAACATTCATTGTTTGTTCAACAGGTGGAAAGTTTACATCAGATTCTTAGATGTTTTTGCTACGTTCATAGAAAACAATGGTTGACACGTGCAAAGATATACAACTAACAGATGTAGACACGCATAAGCACGTGCACATCAACAAGCACAAGTTTATGTACAATTTGCGCATTAACATTCATAGTACATTAGTTCCAATGTAAAATATGTGGTTGGGGCATAAAAACCCCAGTTTCTGTGTTTTACGCATTAATATGAGAACCTTATATATGGATATTTTAAGCATATTTTACTTGTAATGGCAAACCTTTTTATATTTAAAGATTGTTAAAATAATGAATTTTTCCATTTTCGACTAACTGGAATTTGTTTTTATCAATAAATGGAACCGATCTGTTTCAAGTTGGAACTGATGCCGGTGAAAGTAGGGTAACTCTATCCATTAAACCGCACCTGCGCAAACAAGATTTTTTGAGAAAAAATATCTTTCATCTAATGTATGTTATTAGCTCTGAAGATAACATCAACGGTTTTGGAATTTCGCAACGCAGTTGTAGCTACATGTAGACCGTTAATGCTTCCTTGTTCTAGAAGCCTATAATTAAGAACTCATTTGTTTCGCGGGAATTGAACCCGCATGCCATCTTAGATTCAATCGTTCATTCTCGTGAAGACTTCACTGTTAGCATTGATACTGGTCTTCAAGTGAGGGGGATAAAAAGTGCTTGTTTATCTTGGAAGCATTTTACCGTTAAATTATACATTATGTAAGATGGGCTTATGAAGTATTTACAACGACAGATTTTCATGTAGGTACCAGTAGCCACTTTGGTCTCTTTCAATCGTGACGAACGGATGTTTAGAACTATTTTGTTCCGACAAATTGTAGCATGCTTATTGGTTTGGATTTACTCCTTCATTCGATGAAGGGCTTAAAATGTCCGAAACATGTATAGGGCAGTACAATCTAAAATATACAATATATTTCAATCTTTGGCATGATATAATTTTACCGTTATAAAGGTAAGCCTAAGGTAGTTCAACAAGTCGGTTTACCTAATCCGAAAATAGGGACGGTGTGGTACCCTAACGGTTAATGAGTCACCCGGAAGACCCCAGGTGGATTCCCACACGGTTATGGCGAACTCCAAAGGATTACTAATTTTAGTTCGTTATAGCCGCAGTTCGTTTTATATATAAAATATACAGCAAGTGACCTGGGCGAATTATACAGTTTGGTGTATCCATCGTTTCGTTATAAACGTGTTACTTATAACAGTAGTTCACCGTGATCACCGTCATGTGACTCAGTCAAATCTATTTTTCGTGCTTTATTGCCATACACCCTTGACATATATCGTACGTTTGACAAATCGCTACCAAAGGGATGCAGCAAAAGGATTGCTACCAAAGGGATGATACAAGAAGGTTGCTACCAAAGGGATGCTACAAGAGGGTTGCTACCAAAGGGGTGCAGTCAAAGGATTGCTACCAAAGGGATGTTACAAGGGGGTTGCTACCAAAGGGATGCTACAAGGGGGTTGCTACCAAAGGGATGCAGTCAAAGGATTGCTACCAAAGGGATGTTACAAGAAGGTTGCTACCTAAGGGATGCTACAAGGGGGTTGCTACCAAAGGGACGCAGTCAAAGAATTGCTACCAAAGGGATGCTACAAGAAGGTTGCTACCAAAGGGATGCTACAAGGGGGTTGCTACCAAAGGGATGCTACAAGGAGGTTGCTACCAAAGGGATGAATAAAAGGGGCTGCTACTAAAAGGGACGTCGATGAAGAAATGATTGTCAATTCCGTCATACTCGAACTGCCTGCCGGAATATCCTTTAAGGGAAAATATACTGCAAATGAAACTCTTGTCAACACCTCATTATCGTCCCTCAACCACAAAGACCTGGCCAGGAACGCGGAAACCTTCGACTCTGGAAGTTGCCACAGCTCTTTATCCAATGGTTCCTGCGCCACAGGCTCAACGAGTTTACACTCGTCCGACCCCCACACAAGGAGAATTCACTACAAGCCAGTTCCAATGAATCCACTTGGAGAATTCCAGGCAGGTACGTAAGTGCCTCATGTCTAAAAACAGCACATAGTGCATTTGGGATGCAAATGGTGGTCTCCTGTATCATCAATCGAAAGGGCTTACTCGGAGAATGGTAATGAAGATGAATTTTTACTCAAACTTGATGATGCGTTTTATCATTCTGCAGATTCATTGAAACCCGGAAGTCCCATTGTACTCGTTCAAACATGGTCTGAAATTAAGTGAAGAGGCTTTTACAACGTCTTTT